TTCTGTACGTTCAGCAAAAAGTATTTCAGTATCAACTTCAAGCTTGAAGTGCAGAAGCAGTCAACATGAATATCATCTGGCTGCCATGAAGAAAGCCAACTCCATCTCAGTACAATCTCCAACCTTCATTCTGCATCATTTGTGTCAGGCTAAAGTCTTACCCTGTGTAATACATCCTCCCAAGCCACAATCATCCTTCCAGTCCTTTGACAGATACACAGATATAATTTCTTCCATCTATGGGTCGTCCCCATAAAAAGTTCAGAACAATCAGCTGTCGCACACCACTCGTCAGAACAAGTCACATAATCTGAAGCCCGTTTCCTCTATGTTCTTTCAGGAAGAAGATCCACATGTGTGGATGCCTGAGCTCGTGCCAGGCAGGAACATTCCCCATTTGGATGCACAACACGGGAGATGAGCACACATTATCTGTGTGGTACGCAGCTGGATGTTGGCTGCAGAATGCCTGACACATCACAGGGTAGGGGAAGCTGCACCATACGACCCCTCCATGAGTGCCTAGAGAGTCTGCATAGCTCTTCCAGGTGAAAGGTGGGACAGTTATGAGCTAGTCTATCTTCTAACATAAAACAAGCCATTAAACCTTACTGAGATTCTGCAATTCTATACTGTAGATGCAAAGACATTCATCTTACAGACTAACAGCCTTTTTCATGCAGTTTGTGTTTAAGTTCTGGGTAAAAGCTGTGAGTATATATAAACTTGCCTATGAACTAGGCTTATACCAGTCCAGACCGAAGATTAAGCACATCATCTGTGGATTGTCAATTTTATCACTAAACATGTGTCAAATCAATCCCTTTTGCTTTGCCCTAGTCAGTTCGTTTTTTCTAAATGCTATCTTTATTTTACTCACTACCAGCAAAGGAACCACAGTAGGCTGAAAGCATCTACATTTACATATTGAAAAATCTGAGTCTTTACACCAAAACTTTCCAGTACTTCCATACCACAATGATTGTAAAATGTTGGCTATGTAATCATATGATTCAATTTACATGCCAAAAAAATTACACCAGGCTACACTCAACTACTTTATTTTTGGAAAAGTTATTAGGCATCAACACGGACAAACACTAGCACATGTAAAATAATTTCTCAGAACATCAAGTCAAGTCATATCCAGGTGAAACTAATAGAAAATTAGCACAAATTAACGTTTTGGAGGGTCAGCTACCAAAATAATATGCAGTTGTTGTAAAATCAGACTAGATTCACCATATAGTCCTTACTTTTGCAGTAGTTATTTTATTTTCCAGTGCCACGTACTGCTTTTTGGATGTACAAACTCTTCCCTATCAAGAGGAACAGCAACACCACTTGCTGTGGCTTCTTTTTCATAACGCAAAGTACCGTACTGGCTGAAGAACCGTGCATGCTCCGAGTTGGCCAAAACCAATTAGTAAACTGCAGTTGATTACGAAATACTTCAGTAGCAGCCCAGCAGATAAGCTTACTCAATTCTTGAGCATTACATCCACAACCAGAAAAGTTTAAGGCAACAGTGCAAGTAGAAGCTTCATCCTGGAGCTCAACAAACAGTAAAGCATGTGTCTGGTGCACTAACAGCAAGCAAACGCACACGGAAACTCTTTCAGGTCGTCTAAAAATAAACTAAAAAGAGTAGTTAGAACAGATCTTTATTTATCCCTTCTGTTCCTCTAAAAAAAAAAAAAAAAATCCAAGCAGAGCACATGTGTACTATTTCAGGTTTCAGCTACGTTAGTGCTTGTAATTACCCTAAAGGATCATCTCTTCACGTTTCTTTCCTATAAATCTCTACAGAATTACTGGGATCTCTGCTATATAAAAAGTAATGAGATGGCTGAAGATTTTTGGTAGAACTTAAGAGAGTCGTGTAATAAGACAAGGAAGTAACAAATTGAGGGAAGCAGAGACAAATTTTAAACATTCACTATCCAGAGCCAGTTTTCTCTTCCAAACTGTCAACAATGGTTGTGGGTTCCCTCTTCTCTATACTTTGCAAACTAAAATCTAATCAACAGATTCCTTTATTGAGAAAAGGGACAGCATGAACAGTTGCATCAGTTTTTGCTGGTTTTACTTACTACAATAGGAATGTACTGCAGGGAACAATCCAGTATTTGCAGGGGAATGGACTGGATGATCTAATACAACTTTTCCATTTCTAACTTCTTAGAACAGCTCAGGCTGATCCAAGTTCACAAAGAGATTTCTGTCCAACAATACTGAATGAAGAGAACTCCAAGACAAGGTCTGGGGCTTTTTTTTCCATTTTCTTTCTTTTCAATATTAAGAGAGCCAAAATAGCAAACCATATGCCACAGTATACAACCATATAGAAAACACTATGATAAATAAATAACCATAAATCTTAGATTCTATCTGTAGAAAAAGTTTAAAGTTCATTTTATACTTAAACCTTTCAAGCAATTTGGAGCATTTTGTAACTTATGAAAAAAGGTCTCTTCTAATATTTGAAATTATTAAACAGTAAGGTAAGAAGAACAACGTAGAAAATGTTATTAACCAGTGTGTCTGTCTTCAATAGATAAATGTAAGTGCCTAATTAGCAGAATACCCAATGCTCACTTCCTTCCAAAACCGACACATACCAGGATCACAACATCCTTGGCTTTAAACTGGTGCTTTTTTTTTTTTTTTTTTGAAATATCTATCATCATTCTCTGCCTGAGGAATTAAAAACATTTGTCTTTGCAAGTACAGTTGACTTTAAGAAGTTATTGCTAGGAAAACCAGTCTTTCAAATAAGACACCAGAACCCAGAAAGAAAGATTTGGCACTTCTGAAGCCTTGTAACAGGGAAAAACTATGGCAGATGGGGTGGTTCTACTCTTACAGCTCTCTTCCAAAAAGGCTATCAACTGCCTTCTCTGAAACTTGATAGGATACTGAATAATCCTACTTAAAAATGTGTTAGAGATAAAACAAATACCATGAGCCTCAGACACAGTTAAGCCCATCTTGGGGCAAGGATATGAACTAGAAAACCTTTTAAAAGCTCTTCATGCCCTACTTCCTATACCTGAACTCCACAGAAATCAAAAGGTGAGGTTTGATACCCTGTAATATGCACTGGGTCAGACCAGATGGCTCTTAATAGTCTCAATTCTTTTAATTAAAAAACTTTGTCTTGTGAATGAAATTAATATGGCATAGTAAAGAAGTGCAACTACTGAACACTAAAGATTCAGTTTCAAGAATTATGTCTATTTTAACTTAGCATGAGAGTTAATAGGACATTAAAAGAACCGTTCACAGGGTCAGAGTTACATGTACATTTAATACTTGGACCTAAAATGTTCAAGATAAATAATAAAGATGCCTTCAATGCCTTCTTGTTATAACTGAAATAAAATGACCGTTCACTGATCCCCAAAACTTTCTATCTGCTTCAAGCAAGCTCTCATGAATTCTTTTTTGTTAAACTCAAAGACCAATCCACCCTGCAATAACAAACAACACAGTAACTAGGGCACTAAAATAGGAGATCCATAGGAGAGCCAACTTTTTCAAACTGAGTCTATACTGAAGGTAAGTCAGTTGCTGTTGTGCTATCTTTGTCTACTTTTGGGAGAAGGGACAAAAGGGAGCATGTGAAGGAGTTTGAAAAGATTTAGGTTTTGCCTCAATAGAAAAATAGGGAAAATGTTGAAATGTCAATTCACACTCATTTTCTAGCCGGTCTTCTTTAATTCCCAATCCAGAAAGAAAATTAATTTAGCAACTGACCTAACATTTTGCTTAGATGTGTGTCACTGTCAGTCTATATTAGAAAGATGGTGTTCCCTTTGCAGTGATCTTCTGAGCCACCTGAGCAGACGGCTGCAGCAAAGCAGTAAGGAATCTGGGAATCACCACACTTCAGAAACTTTGATGAAAGTATTTAGGCAAGCAAGTATATCCAAGCACTGTTCCCTTGTTGCTCTTGTGTGTCAACTACCAGATAGTACTTGTGTTTACTTTTATATGTCAATTCTCAGCTATTTTGAAAATAATTTTGGTCAAGTATCAACATCATTACATCTTTTTTCAGAGTAAGATAGTTGAAAGAAATGGAAACAGGTGAGTCTTGCAAACCTACATCAAAATAATCCCAATTTTAAGCTTCCTTTAAATCAGTGACTGAGAAGTATAACAAATTCTGCTCAATTATGTGTGAGTCTGGATATATTCACGGCACGAGTTACTACCACCTACTGACTCATTTGAGACCTCAGAATTTCCTTCCAGCTTGAATTAGCTCTGTACTAAAGACTGAAGACATACTTACCATTTTGTAGGAGTGGAACATTTCTAGCCAGCTGATTGGTCCCATTTTTCTGCTATAAGCAATTTTAACCGTATTGGGGTGGCTCTGCATACTCCCATGGCATGCTTTGATTTCTTGCTGATCATTTTCATAGCAGGACACTTTACTCAAGTATTCTTCCAAACTTATTTTTGGTTGCACTTTAGTCCAATGTATTTATGTGCAAAACACAATTTTAAATGGAGGCAAGCCAATAAAAGAAACAGCTTACTAGAATTTCAGTTGACTTTGTTAAAGGAAATTATTTTAAATTAATGTGGCTACTGAACTGTTGCCATACTTGACCTCAGAAAATATATTCCTTCTAATTTTTGCTGTGAGCATTTATTTATTTAAGCTAAACTCCAGGTCTTGAATGTTGACCATAAAGAAGTCTCAGATTTCCTGCTACTATTTCGTACTCTTTTTTTCTAAACAAGGGCAAACAACATATGTTTGCTGCATTAGCATTACACTGCCAAAACATCACTCTTAAATGAAATCATCTATGTATTTTTGGTAGAATCTTATTTAACAACTTCCACCCCTGACAGAAACAGAGTTAAAACAAGGATGTTTTGTTTTCATGAAGCAACAGTTTGCTCACTGGTTTACTAGATGGCGCTCAAAACATTTTTCCATATGCTCTTCTCAAAGAGAATCTGATTTAAATGTGGTTTACCTTCACCAGTGAATGAAGGCTTTTTTCACCAAACATATCCCAGAGGAAGGTCAGGTCTTCCTGGCTGTCCACATGTGGCTGCAGCTGGGCTGGCAATGCAGCCAACAGCTCGTACAGACCTATAAAATGAAAATAAAACACAAAGTATAATCTAGGGGTGATCTCATTAATTTCACTTAACAGTTCTGTGTAATTGGCTGCCTGGAGCATGTCATTTTAACTGAATAGGGAGTCTGGAGTATCCAGCATAACATTACCTTGTAGAACGAAAAGGAACATTTTAAAAAAAAATTTGCTAAGAAGCAAGTATTAGCAGTGTACTTTTTACCTTGTCACAGTTGTCAAGCTTCTACATCCATATATATTTACACAAGGTTATGCAGAAAATTCATAAAGGTTTTGAAAAAAGGATAAAACCAGAAAAAAACATGCATTCCTTTGCTTAATCGTTATTCCATTTCCCTTGATGTTAGCCAAAGAGTGAAATGAGTCATGAATAGGAAAAACTTCCTTAAAAGAACAGAAACTGGATAGGGTGGTCCATTAAAAAAAGGTTCGTGGTTTCTCTAAATATTTCTTGCTAATATATTGCTTAATATTTTTTTTATCCCGTGTTCAGTAGGAATCCACAGCAAGACAAAAGGAACTGCTCTGTTTTGCAGGATTAAACCTTAAAAAACAAAACCAGCACAGTTTTCCCAGACACACACAGAGAAATAATTCAGTAACATTTTTAATTTGCAGGTATTTGGGATTCTCCATAGGGTTAAAGCAATTGCTGTTCCCAGTTATTTGTGGCACACCTCACCAGCAGTCTCAGAGGGGTAGACAGTAGCACACTGTTCCACAGTAGCATACAGCATAAAATATCCATCATGCACACAGGCCATCAAACTGCTGTCCAAGAAATGTAGCAACAGTGTTTGCAGCAGCCCTCTTTAGGGAGGTAACCTGGCAGGAGTTGATATCAATTCATAGCACATGTTTAATTTTCCAGTGGGATTACTTGGGGTAAAAAGGACAAAATGCCTTTTTCTCCTGTCTGCTGTCTACAAAAACACCAATAGTCTCCTGGGATCCAAGATACACGGCCCTGTTATTATTTTTAGTCTGAGTGCTGCTGTTCATCACAAGGACAGATTTACAAGATATTCTACTGGTTAAGAACATTGTTGTAAATTATAGGTTACCTATTGTTGTTATGCCTATTATCTCCCTAAAACTTATGATTTAGAATATTTACTAGTAAACAATTTCACAACTTTTCCAGGCACTATGTAATCCTTTCAAAATTACATACAGCACCTTCAGGATCTGATTATTTAACATTTGTCTTTTTACTGCCTCTCAGTAAAATATTCTGGAAAAAAAAAAGTTCTTTCCAGATACATTCTTTTTGTGGTCCAAGCTTTTTTGGTGGTTGACATTCATTTCTCTTACAATCTTGCTTTTATTTAAATCTGCTCATTCGTGCTTCAGAAATATTGCAAAAGAGGATACAACTCAAACCACTACAATTTTGCATGGACAGAAAACGAACACTGAGCCTTACCTAGTGAGATGCAGTCAGTGATTGAGCTGACACGCACAGGACAGAGGTTTGAATGGGACTCTTGGCTCCGACTTTCTGGACTATTAGAACTTTATCACTTAACAAAAATGATTATTTTTATTGTGCAATTTATGCTTCAAAACATTTTCATTTAGAAAATTTAAAAATTTCCTTAAACCTAACACTTATATTTCTGCATATAGCCAGTTTTGTTACTACATTTACTTCACAATAACCTGAAAGTTTGTAGAAAATTGAATAGATGTAAGCTTACACTGTGGCATAACTGCTTAGGAACAATTCACATGTGCCATTCCGAAGAAAGAAAATATTAGCTTCAGCCACTCCCTTCAAATAAGAGATGTATAACAGAGTAAGCTTTCTTTTCCTTGATCCATCAGATCTGCTTATAGTTCACATATAATCAACTGTAAAACTATTCTATCCTTGTAACTTGCTCCTCAAAGCTTTGATAAATAAATCCCCAGTGAAAATAAAATGAAAGTTCATGTTTCCTGATGGATTAACTATTAGAGTAGTGACACAGGGTGAGACTAAATCTGCCTATAATGGGACTTAGATTTTATGCACAGAACTCCCAAAGAAAAGTCCTGCCTGCTGGCACTCCAGGACTTACTCACTCTGCAGGTGCTTATACACATTAAGGTTTCCAAATCCAGGGCAAATGTGTCTTTGGGCTTCACTTATTCATATCGCCCTGAACTGCCCCTTAGGGAAATGGGTGTCCATGACCCTAGTGCACTACTCTAGCTTTCATAGCAACGCACCCAATCTGTACAACTCTCCTGGGAAAGCAGAGAAAATTAGACAGGTGCTGAATGATCTACCCAGTATCATGGCTATGTTTCTAGTTATGCCCTGCTTTGGCTCTATGGTCCAGTCTTTGAAAGCTTTCAACCAGAAGAAAATCAGAATCCCACCCTTCACAGCAGCACAATGCAAGGACTGCACCGTGCAGCATGCTGGAGAGCACCATTCTCCCGCTCCTTCAGCCTCCTCTTCAAACTGAGCACTACAAAGCCAGAAATAAAAAAAAAAAAAAACCTAACTCAATCAAGGAGTGAAATTAAAATCAGGCAAAAGGAGCACTTGAGGTATTTAGCTGGGGAGAGAGAAGACAAAGATCTAGAATATGTCTAAAGTTAAATTTATGTAATTCCAGGTCATCTGATGCAGCTATAGCCTCCTTCCAAACAGAAGGTAATGGCAGCAGAAGGTATAAGCACCTGTACAGGTTTATTTTTACAGTCTCGTTTTTTCTTGCTCCTTCTGCGGTGCCCAGTACCACACAATCAAAAATTTTCAGATGAGCATTCAAATTTTTATATATTAAGAAAACCAGTAAGTGGATCTCCAACTAAAATATTGCATATTATTTGTGTCTCAGTTATATAAAGTGTGGTGGTGTTATTCATTGCAGTGTGAAGAAACAGTGAAAATTGTGGCTGGCATATGACTTTCAGCAAATTGGATTTAAAAAAAAGTTCTTTTGTGATATGGACAGGGACAAAATTATTTGTCAAGTTACTGTCAACTGGTAATGAAACTGAAACCACTACATTGGCAACTACACGTGAGCCTAATTTAAATTACCAGTTCTGATAACTGGTGACATCCATCTTTCCAACACCTGAAAGGCAGTAGCTCAAATCTCAGCAGCCCTGTAAAATGTCCCTGTACAGAGATGCTGCCATGCAGCAATAGAAGTAATCTGAACCCAACAACAGAGACTGCTTCAGTCCAACCTCAAGTCTCCTGCAAAACTTCTAACTAGCATCTCCGGTGGTTTTGCAAGCCAGAGCCAAAGGCCACTGAAATAAATGCAAATTTCTCACTGGATTTAGTACTGCCAGGCTGTTGAAACCAAGTATTTTTTTTTAATCTTTTCAGTAGCAATTATAAAGACTGAAGTGATGTTATACTGAACACTTCTGATCACTTCTAAAATAAAAAAAAAAAAAACAAACTTTCAAGAAGGTTATAGCTATACCCCCTGTATTGAGATGAACTGTTTTGTAAATTAAAAATGCATGTTCATCACATAAACCACAAAATGATATGTATCTCAGCACCTAAGAGCTCAATGTTACTGTTGTAAGCACGTCACTGCCAGGCCTTGGCTGTGCTCTTGGTCTCAATTTGTTATTTCTCTTAAAGTCCCAGCTTAAGTCATATGACATGCATGGACCTCCTACTAAAAAAAGTATTTTGCACACATTTTTTGAAAGATGCCCTCAATTTAAATAAACACACACACAAAAAGCTTTTTCAAAAGTATCTAGAAGTTGTGTTTAAAAAAAAAAAAAATCATGGAAAACCAAAAAAAAAAACAAACACCCTAGTTTTTTTTAATGCCTGATGTTGGCAACACTGTAGAGAGTCTTAGAAAAAAAAATTTGCTTTTTTTATACACTGTTGCTATTCTACACAGGTTCTTCTATTTTTTTTTTTTCTTTTTAATCCGGTTTGCCTAAATTTAACCAGCTTTTATATTTAAAAGGAATCATGTGTCCACTGGGATCTTCTAATATCAAAATACTTCAGGTGTCAGAATTCAGTAAAGTAAACATCACTTACACAAGAAAAACTCATTTACTTCAGTTTTTAAAAGCAGATCATATATTCAAAGGTCCCAGAAGACCTGAGCATACATAAAAACAATTAACAATGAGCTTAAACATGGATATGTAAGACTATTTTACAATTAAAGGAGGGGAGGTAAGTCCAGTCAGTCCTACAGCTTTGGGGGTGGTGGGGTGTGGTGTGGAGGGGGAAACAAAACAAAAGCCAAATGAAAGACCCAAATGGATCACAATGAAATCATCCCCAAACATTCTCATATCACTGAGACAGAAGAGGAAAAAGGGCCCTTTCTAGATTAACCAAGGTCACAATAATCCAGGGGCAGTAATAGAAGTCAATTCCAGAGAAACAAGGGAGGTCCTAGTTTTAGATACTAGTATGCTATTTATGTTATATACATTAGGTACAGTATCTAACACTTATGTGCACTAAGTGAAAGCCTATTGCATGGAAATATTAATAAAAGAAGACAAGCACTGCACATCGGAATACTATAAAACTCTTGTAAGAGTGGAAGGCGGAGGGGGTTCTTTGAAGGTGCTTATATTAGTCTACTAAATCCAATTACCCGATTCAAGAATAAATAAATTTAAAAGATAATACTGGCTATGCAATACACTTCCATGAAATTTAGTTCAGCCAAGAAAAGTGATGCAGGAAACTAAAAACCAATGACTAGATAACCTTTCCTACAGAAATAGTCCATCTAAACTAAACACATGTAGATAATCTAAACATACATGATCTAAAAGCAAAATTTGTAACAGCTTGTCATGAATAGAAAAATGACTCTGAAGGTTTTGGACTTGTTGCAAGAGCAAGTAAGATAAAATGGCTGCAGAGTAAGGCTTGTAGTGTTCTGCCAGTTTAGACTATGGAAATAATTTCAAGGGAAAAATCCAGCTGTTTTTGAAAACTCAGCACTGTCCCTACTTAAAAATGTAATAGGTTAATTTCAATTTG